CAATCTCTCAGCATTCAGTAGTGGTGTTGACAATGGAGATCAGGGACATGCCAGTCATATTCATGTGGCCCAAACTTCAGCTACTGTGACTTCTGCTAATCCAGCTAATATTTTGTTGCAAGATCGTGGTCTCCATCAATATCAGCCTATTTCTCAGTCAAGAGAACAGTCAACTTCAGGCAGTTTAAAAATGCAGATGTCTTGCAACAGCTTAAAGGTGTCTTCGAATAGATATTCAGGATCTGGAGGCTCATGGATCTTGGGAACCCCATTGGATAAGCAGACCCTCCCTTGCAGAAGAAATTATTTTGAGGGAGAAGGAACTGCTGAAATTAGCGTCGATACAAGCCAATTGTCAGGTAATGTCAAGTTTAGCAACGAGGAAGAGACCGATGAAGAGACTGCTGGAGCTGCAACGTCACCAAAAATACACCATCAGCACAAACATCAGCAGTATCAGGTTCAGCCGAATCAGCACCATCAGCAAGTGACCGAACAGTTAATTGCCGAGGCTAAGAAGGCCTTGTTCCTGCAGGCAAAACTTTGCGATCATACGTGTATGTTTAAAAATATTTGATTACCCTAAAGAGAATTAAACCTACAAAGCTGATGAGAACAAGCGAGTTATTTGACAGACTGATTAACTTATAGCGATTATCTGATGCTAATTAACTTTTAAAAATAAATTCCTTATTAACGGCTAAATATTTGGACATAAACTAAAGTTCAATAAGCAAAGAGTAAAAGGTTAAACTCATCTTGGTGAGATCCCAAAATCATAGTTTATTAATTTATATGGTGCTTATATGTCTCCCTATTTATAGAATTTTGAAGAAACAAAAAACGATGATAAATCTAAGGTATGAAGACCAAGAAGCTGGGGTGTTTTGTGTGGTCGCGGTCTCTTTTCGTTGTATATAAGTTTTTTGACCTTGTTTTTGCAACTTGGTCATATTGGTATGAAGACTTAGAGAAATGCATCTAGTCCCGAGTCCAATGTATGCATCATCATTTTCAGAGTAGGAACATGGATGTGTTACATTCCCAGACGTTTAACCCACATTGTAGTCGGCATCGTCAGTGAACATTGCTAGCTTTAGCACCGAACTATAACCAGTTAAAAAGACAAGTGAAGCCGAACTTTATACCAATTGTCTGCTAAACAATCGTGGTATCTCTCCTTTCGCTCTGGGCTAATCACCAATGCTATATCATTGTATCACACATTCACATATCACAATTTTTTACTTGCTTATTTAACTATGATATAGCACACTTTTGAGCGGCTTTCAAGAGAATTCTCCACACTCCATGCTGGCTTTCTCACTTCCTCATCCCATATTGTTACCCAGTCCTCTTTTCCTAGGTCTTATCAAAGTCTCCCTCTTGCCTCTAAAGATCCGCTTGCTATCTCCCTGGTTCAAATATTTTTCTCGACCCCTACCACCCTATCTGCATTACTCGAGGTGTCATTTCCCACACTATGCTTCTGGGAGGCAAACTCTTAGCCAAAGGCCCTGTGTAATTATCATAGTCAAGCCGTTGCTTCATGGACCACGTCTATGATAAAACAGGTCTACCGTCAGCCAACTAGCTCTGGTCTCCGCAGCGACTATTATGTTTCTATCCGTAATACCAAGTCTATGACTTGCTATGCCCTAGTATCTTGTGTGCTAGCCTACAAATGTTGTGGTACTGCCTTTTTTGATTAGGTTCAAAGTTTAACCACAACATTTTGGGGTTGGCATACAAGAGACTATGACATATGAAGTCATAGACTAGGTAGTACGGATAGAAACATGATAGATGCGGCGAAGACTAGAGCTAGTTGGCTGACAGTAGGCCTGTTTTACCCTAAGCGTGGTCCATAAAGCAATGGGTGACGATGACAATTTTCTAGGGTCTTTAGCCTCAAGTTAGTCTGCCAGACGCAGAGTGTGGGAAGTAATGCCTCGACTAGCACATATGTGGTGGCAAGGATCGAGTGAAAAACTTCAACCAGGATGATAGCCGACGGATCCTACGGGGAAAGAGGGAGACTGATAAGACCTATAGAAGCAGGACTGTGTAACAATTTGGGAGAATCTGATCGACATTTCCAGCACAAGGGTCAAAGTAGATGAGCGGAGTAAGTGGGGTGAGAAAGCCAGTGGGGTGTGTGGAGAATTCTCATGACAGTCGCTTAAAAGAGTACACCATTTCACATGTAAGCAAGCAATTAAAAAATAGTCGTAGTGAAGGCGTGATACGAGGATATAGGATTGGCGATTTGTTTAAGGGGGACGGAGAGCTACCACGATTGTTTAGCAGACAAATCTTCAACGGATCGGCTTCACTTGTCCCTTTGTCGACTTGTAGTGTGGGGCTAGGTATAGCAAGTCGATGTCGATTATGATGCTGACAAAACTTATGTGAATTTACCACATCTACGGTCCGACTATGGAAATTATCATGAATACAATGGACTCTGGACTATATTCGTTCTCTTTAATCTCCCTTTCTAACAATATGACCAAATTGAGTAAACAAGGTCAGACAACTTCTAAATGAAGTTAACCTTTGATTAAACCTAACCCTACTACTTGAACTATCTTTATATTATCTCATTAAGGCCGAATTCGTTATTAAATTCTAGATGCTACATTAAATTTGCATGTGTAATTTATTATAATTCTTATAAAACCAGATGTGTGTGTGAGAATTATGACTGTTAAAAGGTTGTTTAGGACACATGCAGCATTGCGTGACAAGCTCGCCCTCCTTGAGGAAGCTGCATTTAATTTTATTAAGCGTATTGTCCTTTTATGTACTAACCCAAATAGGTTTATTAGTTACATGATATCATTCACTGTATTAAACAGGCCAACCAAGTAGTGTGTTATCTTGATGTATACTAGATAAGGTTAGTAAATAATTAGTACTCCATAGCGTTTGAAATCTATTTAACAAATTAGCATAATTATGGCTTACGAGGCATATAACTTATGCTGATTGCTTTAATTATTTACCTGCAATTAGAGTAAAATGCTATAAATGGAATCAGATCTTTAATTCCATATATAACTATTTTTGAAGACAGAAATTAAAATAATTTTCTAAATATTTAATGCAAAAAACTATTTATGACTTTGTGAAGTAGAAATTTTATTTGTAAAAGGCTTATTATTTGTGAGTTAGTTTATTCCTATGCTTGTCGTTTATGCAATTAGTCCCACGTTGGGATCGATTAGAGAAAATAACGTATATAGCGTTACGAATAGAATTTTATCTAAAAAAATAATTGTAATTTTAACGCATAAATGGCAGTGATTTACTCTGATTGAATAAGAGTAAATCTTTAAAATAATTCGTAAATGATGAGAACCCTGCTTTATTTTATATACATGATTCAATAATTGTTTAATGAACACTGTGTCTTTAAGAACTTTGTCAATATCTATATTTTTGTTAAACTTTTGTTGACCAAGGAATACTATATTATTTATTATTAATGCATTAAATAAGTTATGCTCATGCTAAGTAAATGACTGCTTGATTAGCTCTTTGAAAAATCAGCTATTTTATATACTATGTAATTCATATTTTATTTATTAATTAGATCAGCGTTTGGCTAAAACCATCAAGGGAATTTCGCTTACTGAAGGCGAAGGTCTAACAACGGATCAAAGTTGGATTTGTGCAATGTAAATAAAAAGATTTTTATTTTATCCTAATTTATATTTTCCTTTAATAAATCAAGTTAAATTTATGCATAACTATTTCGAGTTTGAAATTAAATCTGCATAAAAATTGGATGAAAGATTATATCTAATGTTAAGCGAAGAAATTTCGACATTTCTGAGGTATATGTACAATAGTTTAAATAAATTAG